GGGTGGGGGGGGGTTCATTTTACTTTTGGAATAAAATTACTCATTTGACTTAATTTCATAGCTAGCATTTTATTTTTCCTTAATGCATAATTAAGCATGTCTAATATTTACACACTTCATAATTTGACGAAATCACATTTATGTGGAAAAATGCTTATAAAGTGATATTTACCTTAAATTTTTTTCTTTTCTGTTTTCTTCACACGATGAGTGTCATCTTTCATCTCTTCAAGCATGCTCTTCATTGATAATGTTGTCTCTTTGGTTAAAATAATACAAATAATAATTACTGTATGTACAAAGTTGTTTTTTGCTCTGGAAATGACACCATAACGATGATTGAAATCATATTTATACAATATTTTAAAATGATTTATGATTATTCTACACTTTGTTTACATTATCATAGTTTTAAAATGCAGTAATTCATATTTTTATGATGGCGTTTCTTACTGCTTTAGTAGCAGAACATAAGCATTTGCTGCTGAATCTGGAATATGGAAAAATGTCAGCTTTAAAGGTTTAAAGGTCATTATTTTTGCATGCCCATGTCATTCCAAAACGTATTTCTTGTGTGAAACACAGAAGGAGACATTTTGCAGTATGTTCACACTTCTCTCTTCCATACAGTGAAAGTGAATGGGGACCAGGAAAATCAAGGAATACACAAGGAATCCTTAATATACAGAATAGAGGAAAGAAACAGAAAGAGCCCAAGTAAGAAAACGGAGATTCCCTACACTACATGCTACATCTGGACGAGGCGAATCCCTTGAGATCCTTTTTGGGACCCTTATCATTACGCACATCACATTCCGTCCCCTCAATTCCCACAATGGGCTCCTGCTATCTAATGGAACTTCCTATATAAGGACAACCTCCTATTGCATCCAGTAAATCAAGTCTGTGATGTTTCCAGGGAAAAGGACCAAGGCTGGTATGTTCTGAGGCCTTGCTGCAGTCCAAAAGAGAGGGGGGATAAAACAAAGCCTGCAGGGAAAGAAGCGCCTCTGTCACTGGTCAGCATCAAGCTCTCCTGGATGTGCGAAGGGAAGGAAGGGAGGTAGAGAGAGTGTCTTGGAGACAGATGGAGGATGGGGGTGTATAGTGAGAGTGAAAGTGAGAGGTTGCGAGAGAGAGGCAGAGATGCACGACCCTACTAGGTCTCTGTTGTGCCATATAAGGACAATGGGGTCTGCCTGGAATCTCGGCTGTATTCTGTGTTTAGAAGGGAACACCGAAAGACTTGGACCGAGTGACTAAATATGGTGCAACAGCAGTGTTATTGTTAAGACAAATAGGCATTCATTGGGATGTCTTTCAACTGTTTACTCACCAACAATAAACCTCAGAATTGCTGCAGACACCCCAAACTTTAAAAATTGTTTTTGTTCATTTATTTTACATTTTTCTGGTTTAATCACGATCAGATTTTTTCTAGATCCTGCATTAAATTTATATTTTGACCTCACTATTCGGGGAACAGACACAGTCTTTATAGATTGTACACCAATTATTATACACCAATTTCTGTCAGTGTATACAGTGAAAAACTGTAAATGGCTTAACATCGCATTATATGTCATTTTACAATACAATACTGTCATATTTATGTACTGTCAAAAACTATTCCCAGTAGTTCCTGCATGCCACCACATGATTATATTTTATATAAATAACTTTTTTTAAGGGCATGTTATTTACAGTGTGCATTATGAACTTTTAATTTTATCAAAATAAAAATAATTTCATCATTTAACTAAACTTTCAGACTAAACTTTTAGATCTTTATAACTGTGCTGTAAAGAGGAAAGCAGCGTCTACTGTTACTGACCCCTCTTATCCTTTGCAATAATAATTATTTTATTCCTACTGCAATTTCTATTCTGAATAAGCCGAAACAGTTTTGTCAGGATCTTGTGTCTTAATATTGTGTATTATGTACATGTCAGCCTTTTTACCTAAGATAAATTTCTATCACTGGTTGATAGATAATACAGTTTTTTTAACTGAATTGAATTGAACCTCAGGTAATTTCTTTGACAACCAAAGGAGATATTTTGAGATATGTCCAAGCTGCTTTTTTCCCTACAATGAAAGTGATTATGACAAAGTTGTACCATAAAAACAGTCTTTGTGACTTATGCACTATATTCCAATCGTTCTAAAGATATTCAGAAAATCTTCGTCAAAGGTTTCAGATACGTGAATATTCAGCTTTGGTTGTTATGAGACGTGCAAGAAATAATGATTGGCATCAGTGACGTTAAACCTGGTGTGATGTCTTGAATGTGCAATATTTGAATATTTTTGAACATAAAGGAGATTTGAAAACTATGGCAAAGGGGAAGATAATCAATGAAAAATAACAATGCTCACAAAGATATTGTATGTCTTGAAACACAATGCACAAGTCTTAAGGACCTCTTGTAAGGTATTATTTATTTATTTATAATCCGGAATCCACTGGCTTTCATTATATGGAAAAGTGTAGCAAATTTCTCTCCACCCCCAAAAAGTAAGTAAACAATGACAGAATGTTTAGTTCTGGGTGAGCAGTTCTGTTTTTTCAATAAGTGAAAAACAATAAAATGTAGGAAAGAAATTATAATACTCAGATTTGGACCCGAGTTTGGCTTCAAAGCCTACTGAAGTCCTACTATTTCTAAATACTTAGTTGTACCCTCAGTAGAAGTACACTATCTCAGGAATTAGTCCTGACAGGAGAGGAGGGAACGGGAAATGTGTGCTAGATTAAAGCTATGTGTAAAGCACAGGCTGGGTAGAGTTTCCTAAGACTCATCCAAAAACTCATTTGAACTGAAGCTGTTCAGAGTAACTGGAGTATTAAAGGGGTCATATGATGCGATTTCAATTTTTCCTTTCTCTTTGGAGTGTTACAAGCTCTTGGTGCATAAAGAAGATCTGTAAAGTTGCAAAGACTAAAGTCTCAAATCCAAAGAGATATTCTTTATAAAACAAAATAAACCATGGTTTTACTACAGTAACCTAGTTATGTTTTTTTAACCTTAAACCGCATAAACACATTTCATTACACCAAATACACCAAATAATGTTCTTTTTAGCAACATCATATGACCCCTTTAAGATTAGCCTACATTAGTAAGAGAATTTCAACACCTTACTAGACAAAATCTTACTAAAAGGTGCGTACAGTATGGAACCTCTTACAGTGTCACAAGCACATTTTGCTGTGGCTTTGCTTAATCGTGGACATGCAAAAAAAGGAAATTACATGCACAGTGAATTAAACATTACAAAAGAAGAACAAAATGTCTCTTATCTATAATTTATCTACGTGCACATTCAGTTCTCATAAAAATCCTGAGTACATACATAAGTACACATTATTTTTGAGGGTCATATGTGTTTGGATATATTTGTCCTCGAACGCAGTTCCAACTTAGCAGCAGGAGAGCAAGCAAATATTTGTCTACTCATGTTTATTCAATTTGTTTCACATGATCTATCTGTTGATGATAACCTTTTACTGAAAGAAAGTGTACCCTGACAATGCTCTGGGAAAACTTCAACATCAACCTTTCAACAAACTGCTTTATTACCCTTGATCTGTGATCATATTCAGTGCAAAATGCTAAACATATATTGAAGTATTGAGTGAGTATGAAGTGACTTACCTTTTAAGGAAAATTGGGAAATTTACAGCTTAAGTAAGAAAGTGTAGTTCAAATGTCATTTCTAGACAGATTCAAAATTCAAAGTTCAAGGACCTGGGCCTTCACCAGAAAGACTCATTTTAGAAGCTAGCCAACAATCCAGGCTTGTTTTGGCATTTTTGCCATGTTAGATAAACAATCAAAGCTCTTATTTTAAGATTAGCGTAACATGATCAATTCAGACTGCAGAAATTACCACAATTTGCATACTTTATCATTGTTGACTTTAGTTAAAAATAGTAGAAAATAAATAGTTGCACAAAAAAATAAGGCTGCTGCTATTTTACAGCAAATGTAAATTTAATATTGCATATAACATATTTTAAAAGAAGAGGATACAGACATATCAAATTCAAAATCAGTTAACTGGATGTCAAGACTATTTAACACTGGGTCAGCTGGCCAATCAGAGCAGACTGTGCTTGTCGGAAGGAGGGACTTTGTAGAAAACGAAACGTTTGAGAGAGGCGGGGCATAGAAGACCTACAATAATGTACAGTATTTGAAAAATAATGTGTTTTTTGAACATTAAAGCATGTCAACATATTATGTTACACCAAATACACAAAATAATGATCTTTAAAAAAGCATCATATGACCCCTTTAATATATGAGGACAATGACTATATTGTAATATACTGTATTGTTTGCACAGCTTAGAAGAACAATCACAATGGTTTTATTCATAAAACTATTACTAGGATTACAAAAAGCAACATCAAAAAATATAAAAGAAAATACATCAATTTCTATAACCAGAGTAGGCTGGACAGAATATTTTGGCCTCTTTACGGGAAATTGTTTTAATTGTGATCATATGACTTCCTCTTGAGATGGCTGCAGAGCTGGAAAAGCAACAGGAACAGTTGAATGGGATGCAAGTTTTTCAGACTTATGAAATTAAAAATTTTATTTGTTAATCTTTACACTAAATATGTAAACGCAAAGTCAAACTCAAGCCCTCTCTTTACCTCAGTGTTATGACTCTGCATTACGATGGCCATGTGATTATTGTGAAGACACTGCTGCTGAGCCCCTTAGGAAGAGTTTTCCTTTGAGCTCTCCCTTACTGCTAAGAAAATGATGGAGCAATCCATACAACAATGGCCTAAAAAACACCAAGACAGAGCTATATAAAAAAAAGCATAAAAGAATGGTTCGCCCCAAAATAAAAAAAGTCTGTTTTTAGAGCTTGAAAGAACCAGGTCACCATTCACTACATGGAAAAGAGCAGCTTGGACATTCTTCCAAAATATCTCTTTTTATATTTCACAGAAGAAAAAAGGTTAAAGGCCAAGTAAATGATGACAGAATTTTTGGTTGAACTATCCCTTTAAGTTTAGATAAAGTGGTAAGAGCGATTATTCAAGTGAGATTGCTCTGATCAAGCAGCTTTATAGTTGTGCTAGGATCAAGAAACTCATTCATGCAGTAGTTACATCTAGACTTGACTACTGGAGTAGTGTTTTGGCTGACTTACCAAAGAGCTCTATCCAACACTTACAATGAGTTACGAATGCAGCAGCAAGAATGCTTCCTCGTACTAGACTGAAGAATCACATTCAGCACTTAAATCACTTCACTGTCTATACTTGTCTCACAAAATGGGTTTTAGAGCCTCTTATTACATTTTTAAAAGTCTTCATGGTATTGCATCAACATTTCTTGCTGGTTGTAATTAAAACAAGGCTGAAAGTAACAAGTCAGCTTTAAATCACTATATGGTCCCGAGCTGTGGATCTCTCAGCCAGACAACCTATGAGCAGTTGACTCAAATTAAAGGGGTCATATGATGCCATTTCAAGTTTTCCTTTCTCTTTGGAGTGTTACAAGCTGTTCGTGAATAGAAAAGATCCTAAAGATCCTTTTCCATAATTATTTTTTTTAATTAATTGGTGTTTGTTTATGTTTGTTTATGTCACAGCTGAACAATTTTTAAATCTTTCGAACTAATTAAATTGACCTGCCAGCATTTTTACCGGCCCCACTACCAAAAGTGATATGCCTTTTTTTTTTTTTTAGTTAAAGGGATACTCCACCCCAAAATATCTTCAATTGTGTTCCGAAGACGAACGAAGCTTTTACGGGTTTGGAACGACATGGGGTTAAGTGATTAATGACAAAATTTTCATTTTGGGGTGGAGTAACCCTTTAAGTGTTAACAGGCCTCAAACTCCCTTACAGTGACCCTGGGCCATCTTCATTGTTGTGCCATGTGCATACAGTACAGTACATGTTCAAAACATCTCTCATGTGCTCTATAAATAAAAAGTTGTACTTACTTGTCACAAATCATACTTACACTGCTTTGGCACTTGGCACGTCTTCTGCGACATTGAGCTCACTGGCCACGAACTAGGGGAACTTCAGGCTGACCTGATTCTGAGATGCATTGTTTTAAACAATTTAACCTTCAAAAGTTTGTTTTTATAATATATTTCAGTTGTTAGGTGTAATAGAGAGCTAAGAATGCGTGACTGTGCGCATGGTCCTCCTGCAGGGCTCATCTACTCACCTGCGGTCAGCACCGAGGCGGTGTATCGATACTTGTTGAACTGCAGGTATTCTCGGATCAGTTCATTGATCAGCAGGTTCTCGTGGGACAGCGGCGGCCGCGGCGTGCTCTGATCGTCCAGCGCGCTGAACACCTCCGCCCGGATCCTCGCCTTCAGCTGCCCGAGGACCCCTCGGGCCTCCAGCGTCTCTCTCAAAGCTACAGATCGTTCATTTGAAAGCCAGAGAGAGAAAGTGAGTTGGGCTAACCTGCACAACTATAGAATACACAACTGTGGTGAGACTTGGGGGGTTAGGTTTAAACATCTAACATAATTAATAACAAACCTGACGACTGTAGATTTGTTATAAAAAAAACACGCAAAAATAATCATAACCTTAGCCCAAGGACATGATGCATTTTGTCATTTTATGATGGTGCATTCAAGTCATGTCGGATAGATCGTATTTACGAATTGAACGCACATGAACGCCACCACAAAGTCGTTATTATGAATAGGAAACTCGAAATTTTCTTTAAGCCCCGAGTTTACGAGTTGGGGGCGTGTCAATGAGAAACATGGCGGAATCGATGGATGCAACGTCTGTAGTTGACGGTACATTTTTGTTTAAATTGATAGTTTAGTTGTCCTATCAACTTAAATTGGTCATGTTCTTGTTAAGCAGCTGAAATCCAAGTAAAAAAAATGCAGAACCTGTTGTATTTTCTTGTAATTTATTAAAAGAAGGTACACCGCCATCTTGTGCCGACTAAACTGACTTGAACGCACCTGACGTCGTATTTACGACTTGTCAACTCGTAAGTACGAACGTCCCAGGAGGACTTGTACGCAGCATAATAGCTCACCGCTTTTTAACTCTGTGATGGTTGCCATTGAAACAGTTCTGCACTTCTCAGACGCTTCCGCTAGAGGTCAGTGTGGCTCTTACTACGTATATAGTTTTACTAATGCTTAGCCATTCCACTCTAGTACGGGACCAAATAGCAAGTGCACATTTATTTATTTTTGTATAATCATCATCATCAATGTAATTAAGTAAATAATTAATAAATGATGAATCTTCATATTCTTAAAACCAAACAATATTGTTTAATTAAAAAAACCTTTATTACACTCTTTCAAACAACAAAGAGACATCATCATTGTTAAACACACTCATAATAAATTCAGGCAGCATACCTTAAAGACAGAAAAATGAAACAAACAAACAAATAAATATTTCAAAAATAAAAATAATTACAAGTGATAAATATTAAATACACTTAATATACATTTATTAAACATATATTGTGCAAGTAATTTAAAGAGTTTAAGGGCATTCCTTTGAAGAATGAACTAAAATAATAATAATTCATCTTCATATTGTTTTTCATAAGCGAAATAAAACCAAAAAAATAATAGTTTTTATTAAAAGCAAACAAACTTGTATACAACTTATACAAATAATAACAGGCATTATAACTATTAAACACAAATCCAAGCAACATACATAAAGAGATAAAATGAAATAAACAAATAAATACATACATATTATTAAAATGAATAAAATTACAAATGATGAATATTAAATAAACTTCATATATATTTAATCAATAAATATTGTGCAAGTAATTCAGAGAGTTTTAGGCAATCCGTTTTTCAGCTGTTTTAAATGTTTAAATGTTACAAATTATTTTTCTAAAATAAAATTAAACAACTTATTATTTTTAAAGGATCAGTTTTAGTGGAAAAATGAAAAAAAAACACACACACACAAACACTTGAATATGCACCTAACAGTGCACATTTGTCTAGTTTAAATATTTAAATTAACATTGTGACATCTATTGATTTTATTATAGGCAAGTCAAGTGTTGATTTGAGAGGCTAAATGAATCAAAAATGGTTTCAACTCACTGTCGGCCGCTGACCGCTTGGTCGTCACTTTAAAAAACAAAAACTTGAATTGAACAAACAATAAATGCTCCAAACATATTTCTAAATTAACTTAATAAAGAAACTAAAAGAAATATAACCGCTTTGCCACTAAAAACAAAATTGAACTTTTTTGAAAATTGAAAATTTTAATTTTAATGGCTGCAAAAGTAGTAGAACACACACACACACACACACACACACACACACACACACACACATACACACACACGTGATGGATCACGTGACGTCATGCGGAAGTGAAGATCGAGTGGAAAATTTTCCGCTCGCGAAGTTCTTTGCTCGCTTTTGTCCCGGAAGAACAAGATTTCTCGTCGTGTCAGACTCAGTTGTGGTCACCCATCGTGCCAAAGTAACTTCTGTCTAGATCAGGCTGGAAAATGGCTGGAACAGCTTTAAAAAGACTCATGGCTGAATACAAACGTAAGTCATGTCTTTGATTACACTAATGCCGTGCAGTGCTGGTGCTTGTGAACGGTGGATTTTACACTATTTTGGTAGCAACAGTTTGGCAGCTGTAGATACTTCCAGAACTTCACCAACATATGCTGACAGTGTGAATTATTAAAATGACTTCAGTCAGTAAATTAACAGCAGTGCCACCAAACACACTGAAACTGACCGTGTAACTCCTAATTCATGTTCATACTTCATTTCTCTACACGCGTAACGTTACTGTACTCTAGTGTTGCCACTGCAGGAAAGTGTGTGATGCGTGTCTTTTCTTATATATATATATTTCCTGTTGAACATAATTATATGGATACAGTTTGCTCAACGCATTTCTTTATTTCCAGAACTGACCCTCAACCCTCCAGAGGGGATTGTAGCAGGTAAGAATTACCTTACAGTTACTGAACTGCTCCATTGACCTGGCTTTACAGTAGATTATTTAGAATATTAATAATAATTTTACTTAAATCATGTATTGATTTATCTGTATAAGAAGATAATTAATTAATGAGACTAATTTCATCCCTACAGGGCCTGTAAACGAAGAGAATTTCTTTGAATGGGAGGCTCTGATTATGTAAGTTTTACTCATAGACTGTAAAAAGGACTTTGTTTAGTGAGCGTTGTTTTTTTCTCTTGTTTGATTGATTCCTCCACAAGATAAAAAAGGATTGAAAGGATTTTTTCTTGCAAAAGTCTGAAATTATGTAAGTTTTACTCATAGACTGTAAAAAGGACTTTGTTTAGTGAGCGTTGTTTTTTTCTCTTGTTTGATTGATTCCTCCACAAGATAAAAAAGGATTGAAAGTATGATTTTTTTTTTCTTGCAAAAAGTCTGAAATCGGAGTTTATAGCTTGCATTTTTTACTTTTTTTCTCAGATTTCTGAGTTTGCTTCGCACAATTCTGTTTTTTGTTTTGTTTCAGCCATGGAGTAAAAAAACCAAAAATCTTATATGCAAGTTTAAATCTCACAATTATTAGTTAATATATCGCAATTCTTTTTTTCCCTCACAATTCTGAGTTTGCATCTTGCTTTTCTATTTTTTGTTTGTTTGTTTGTTTGTTTTTGTTTAAACTATGGAATAAAAAATAATAACAAAAAAAATCCCACAATTTTTACTTCATTCGGAGTTATTTTGAGTTTATATTAGGGCTGCACAATTATGACAAAAATCATAATTGTCGATTATTCCCTTGAAATTCTAATTGCGATTATCACAATCTACATTGAATGATGTTTACACCATTGTTTGAAGCAACTGCATGCCATATTTTTATATGAAAATAAACAAGCTGAAAACTTTTATTGCTTTTCTATAGTATTAAGCCTCAAATGTCAACTATACATTGGATTGATTTCTTCTTTAAATAAAAAAGTAAAAATAAGCATAATATTATAATGTTATACTAAAACTAAAATTAAAACAATGGAAAACCCCTTAAAGGGATAGTTCACCCAAAAATGAAAATTTGATGTTTATCTGCTTACCCCCAGGGCATCCAAGATGTAGGTGACTTTGTTTCTTCAGTATATCCGGATTGTTCAAACCGACTTAAAACTAAAAGATTACGTGCTCTCGCGCGAACTCATTCGGGAGTGGTGACTTTCCACGTATTCCCAACTTCTGAGCCTGCTCGCCGGAAGTTATGGTTGATTGCTCTTCGGCTGGAGTTCAACACACCCATTAATGTAAACTACGCCAGAGCGCGTACACACCTCACGCACCGGATGCCGTGCGCGCGCCCAAAGACAGTTGGACATAGTGCTGTATTAGAGGTAAAAAATGATATAAATACTGTTCGGTTTCTGGCACAAACCGATTGTTTCGTGTCTTAGGACATCAATGTGTCGTCACGAGCCGCAGGGTTTAATTTGGATTTGTCTGTGCATGTTTTTTTTACTCTCATAGATTTTGTTACCATTGCCATGCATTATACGACTGATAGACTGCAACGGTTAAAGTTAAAAATCATCATATGTGTTCTACTGAAGAAACAAAGTCACCTACAGCTTGGATGCCCTGGGGGTAAGCAGATAAACATCAAATTTTCATTTTTGGGTGAACTATCCCTATAAGATAACCTGTAGCAAGAAAAAAAAACACATCTTAAGCACTCAGAATAACATAAGTGGACTTTAAACGATTAATTGCACCTTTGAACAATTATGTAATTGTGGCATCCGTTATTGTAATCGCGATTAGAAATTCGATTAATTGTGCAGCCCTAGTTTATATCTCCGTTCTCAGAATTGTAATTTATAAAGTCAGAATTGCAACAAAAAAGTCAGTGTGAGATATAAAGTATCTATATAAGGTAATTGCAACATTGTTTTATAATTATTATTATTCTTATTTATACATTTTTTTAATGTGGCAGAAACAAGCTTCCATGAAACAGCTCAGTGTGGGTCAGAAAATGTGTTTCTTGATGCTAAAATGAAAAATGATATAAATACTGTTCGGTTTTTGGCACAAACCGATCGTTTCGTGTCTTAGGACATCAATGTGTCGTCACGAGCCGCAGGGTTTAATTTGGATTTGTCTGTGCATTTTTTTTTACTCTCATAGATTTTGTTACCATTGCCATGCATTATACGACTGATAGACTGCAACGGTTAAAATTAAAAATCATCATATGTGTTCTACTGAAGAAACAAAGTCACCTACAGCTTGGATGCCCTGGGGGTAAGCAGATAAACATCAAATTTTCATTTTTGGGTGAACTATCCCTATAAGATAACCTGTAGCAAGAAAAAAAAACACATCTTAAGCACTCAGAATAACATAAGTGGACTTTAAACGATTAATTGCACCTTTGAACAATTATGTAATTGTGGCATCCGTTATTGTAATCGCGATTAGAAATTCGATTAATTGTGCAGCCCTAGTTTATATCTCCGTTCTCAGAATTGTAATTTATAAAGTCAGAATTGCAACAAAAAAGTCAGTGTGAGATATAAAGTATCTATATAAGGTAATTGCAACATTGTTTTATAATTATTATTATTCTTATTTATACATTTTTTTAATGTGGCAGAAACAAGCTTCCATGAAACAGCTCAGTGTGGGTCAGAAAATGTGTTTCTTGATGCTAAAATGATTCAGTTCAAACTGCTTTTCTCTGCCATGTCTGGTGTGCAAAGAGGGCCAAACAGCCACATCTTGATTTCACAATAAAAATTGAATTATTCTATTATTCAGTTTAGTTTGCAGTGTGCAGATTGAACACTGATAATAACATGTTAAAGAAAATGAAAAATCTATACTATAAAATAAATTTTTACAATTTCTGAGTAAAATATGAGTAGTCCCAAATGATCCACAAAGCTGTGTGGTTGCTAGGTTTGTTGCTATGTAGTTGATAACAAGGGTGTTGTAGGTTATGTACTTTCCCGTATGTAAAGAGCCCACTCCGTTTCTATGATATTGTGCTCCCTACACATGGCTCAGATGCCTCCTTTAGTCTAAGTCTGTGAGATTG